ATATAGAGTAAAATCCACTGCACAGTGGTATATTCTCATGAAATGGGTGTGTTTAGTACGATCAAATTTTTTTTATATTCGATTAATTATAATATTTTGAAAAATATTTTTCTTCAAAAACAAACTAACAAAAAAATGAAGCAGTGAAAAGTGAAAAAAAGTTTCATAACTGATATTTTATGTTGATTATTTTTTCCCCTTCCTAAACACCCGATCATTGGCCAAACCCCATGCCATCACCCCACGTAGTGATTGCGTAGATTATATATACCGTCAAATCTCTCTACAATAATTTTTCTCTATAAAAATATTTTAATGTAATAGTCACATTTTTGTGTGGAATAACTTTTTTATGTTATGATATAGTCTATATATACCATATGTTTTCTATAACAATATTGTATTATAGCCATAAAAAATTATAAAACAAATAATGATGTTATTGAGAGGTTTGATCTAAGGACAATATTCTCTATTTATTTATCAAAAATTAGAATATATGAGAAAACTTCTTGAAGTATTTAAAATTGACCTTAGTTGGGAAGAGAAAAAAAAGGCAGCAGTCTCGTTCAGCCATAAAAAAAAATACTTCTTGGAGTCTTTTGATTATACAATTACTTAAATAATACTAAATGTGGCTTATTCCAAAAGTATATAATATTAATAGAAATATTTGTTTTACCAAATCGAATACTTAAGCACACAACGGTTTACTTTTGTCCCTCAATTATAATTCAATACGTTACATGCTAAGCACATCCGATGTTAGTGTTTAAAATGTGTTCAATAAGATGTTAATGCTTAACAACTTCGTTATTATCATTTATTTTATAAACATCCTTTTTGTATTAGTAAGATTATAAAATTCAATTTTGAAGTAAAATATATTTAATGTCATGTAGAACAAATCTTTGTTTTTTTTAAAATTATGTTTCAATAATGTTTGGTGCATGGAATATAAATTTGGTGACACGTTATTATACAATTGGAAAGTGAGATGAGTTAATCATGGTCACGAGGTAAAATTAAAAAAATATATATCAATTTTTAGACGTTTAAATTGTAATTAAAGTAACCTCTTGAAGTTTTTAAATAAAAGATAGTAGTCAATTTGAAATTTGTAACATTGTTATGAATTTTGTATTAAAAATAGACGAAATTCAAGATACTGTGACAAAAACGTTTTTTAAAGATAGAATTTCATGATAGCATTTCAAATATTTCACTTAGTTTAAATTTGATGACCATGACATTTTTATGGTGTTTCAAAAAATAAAAAGCTTTTAAAAATAAATTTCACTAATTATTTTCTAAAAGTTAGTCATAAAGTGGCTAGCCCATAAACTTGTTTACATCATGGTGATATCAAAGCTTATCAATTGGGCTAAGTTGAACAATTCTTCAAAAAATTACTTAGCCCTCTATGATAACAAATTGATATATATTATATAATATTGTCATAACATTATAGATGTCAAATTCATTCTTTCAGAAAAATATTACTCAAATCTTCTATAATCCTCATACGATATATGTCATATAGTAATAGAAAATATCATAAAAAGATAATTGATAATTCATTCCTTCAAAAGTAAAAACTTCTTATTCCTATATGATATCTCTATAGAGTATGACATATATAGAAGATTGATTTCATGATACAGCATAATATATATCACATATAATAAAGTATCAAGAAGGACAAGTTCATTCCTTCGAAAGAAACAAATTATAAAATAAATTACAACAAATAAAGTTTAAGCTTTATTTTGATGTTTCAATTTTTACATAATTTTTAGGTGGTTAAATTTTGTAAAAATGTTTTAAGAAAAATAGAGTCAGATTTTAGATAAATTTTTTATTTTCATTTGCAAAAGAGAATAAAGATTATAAAAATATATTTTCTTTTAAAATTTAGTTACATTAGTATTTTTTTTTCTAAAAATTATTTCTTGTCTAGTTATATATATATATATATTATATTTGAAAAGAAAAAGAAAAACACAAACAAAAGTAAAAAAAATAAGCCTCACAATGTACTATTACCATGCACTACTATGTACTATTTTGCCATTTCAAACAAAATGAATTATGCATTAATTATACACAATTATATATAATTAAATGATTAGCTACCTAAATTAGAAAATATGAAAATAAAGTTTAAAAAATTGTGAACAACTGAGTGGATGTGTGCCATGGTAGGACATTATTTGTTATTTTGTTGTATGATATATTCTTTTTAGGAAAATGTTTCAAATGATATTAGGCAAACAAATTATAAGCGAAGAATAATTTGATTAAAAATGATTTTTTGTCCGAAAAAATACACAGAATTTCAGCAATAACGATCAGTCAATAGCTCAAGCCTCAATGTAAGTTTTTTCTCCCCTTATAATAATTACTATCACAGCTTCTTGAAATAAAAAATGTCTTAACAAAAGTAATATACGTAAATGAATACAAATAACTAACGATGTAAGATTTTTCTTTATTGACAGTATAAAAAATGCTTAACGTATCGATCACGATTTGTTACGTACTTCCTCTGTTCCTAATTACTTGTTCACTTTTGAATTGACACACCTATTAAGAAAACAATTATTGACATAGTGAATTTATCATTTTACCCCTATTAATTATGAAGTGGATGAATTAAAAATTTAAGATTTTCAAGAAATTGTACATTTTTCAAAGTAATTAATTAAGGGTATAATAGGTAAAATTATTTTGTCCTTTTTTGATTTGTCAAAATGGACAAGTAATTAGGGACAACTATAAAAGAAAAAATGAACAAGTAATTAGGGATAGAAGGAGTATGTATTAAGCCTAAAAAATAAAAACAAAAATACGACTCAAACTTTTACCCTTGAAATTTGATAGAAAGCTTCTTTGACATTTTCATCTATTGATGAAAAAAGTCACATGGATATATTCCTCTCTTAATGGTCTATTTAAATTATTTCTATTCTTGCAGCATAATTAGTGGAGATTAATACCACATGCCTTCTATTATTTAACCAACAAAATGTGTCTGACAAAAACAATTAAGAATTTAAAAAGGGTTAATCACATTTTTTAGAGCTGCAATTAGGGGTGGCTAAGTGGAGTGTTAGATTGAATATGAGCGGATCAAATTGAGTTAGGTAAAAACGGATAAAACATTTAACTCATTCATATTTCATATGGTTAAAAACATCAATTAACAAATGAATAATGTGGAATTTGTATAATCCATTGTAAAATGATTCAAAAAAGAAATCTCAAATTACAAGTTTTTTTTTTCTCTTTTAGAGATTCCTATATGATTAGACTCCTTCTCCGGCAGTTTACTTGTGGGATTAGTAATTTTCATAAAATCTTTGATTAATCTCCGATAAAAATTGACATGGTCAAGAAAATTTTGTTTAACAAAGATGATAGATATATAAAATAATATGAATTAATCTATATTTGATTTATTTTAAAAATAATTGAATATCCAACTTATTCTAAATAGATTGACTTAAAAAATAACCGTAAATTTTAACCATTGTGTCACCCTAGCTGCGACCATTCTAGATTCTGATGGAAGAAGATGCATGGGAATTCAATATTCTTAATTGATCAAATTATTCCCCTGTTAAATTATATATTAAAAATAATTTAATTAACATGGCCAATATATCACGACAACTCGAACATTGACTGCTATTTTAAGAATATAACCGACACAATTTATTATTTCAATCTTCTAGTTAATTAAACCTTTTATGCTTCTTGACGAAGCTAGAACCTTGGAAAGTCTTTTAAGATTTAAAGCTTGAATAATTAATATACACAAGTAATCTAGGGTCCCCTAAAATATCTTTCACTCACACTGAGACTGGACATATAATGCACGAACAATTTAATATAAACAGTGTAACATTAAAATAAAAAAACGTAATGAATCTTGCTTTAACATCATGTTAAATTAAATACAAAAAATGACCTTTAGAAAATAGCTATTAAATTTTTCGCTTCTCTTAACATTTTTTCTTTTCAAAATAATTTGTGGTCCATTCCTTTAAATATTCTATCGAGTTTTAAAATTAGAATAAGAAGTTGATTATGATCATTCCTACATATCATGTTATTCATGTGGCTGCTAATAAGGTCAATTAGCTAATTGAAAGCCACTTAAAGTGGATCACGAATCTTGTTTATAGAAAAATTAAACAAGCAGAGTCTTCATTAATAACAAGATAATACTCCTAGGTTTTCTAAGAATCTTTCTGCAACAAGTCCATGCTCACCCAAGCTAATATTAAACTGGGTTAAGCACATGGAAGGATTCATAAGGCAATTTATGGTGTTCGTGAACTCATAGTCTATCCGCCAAATTAGATGTTTTATATACAATCTTTTTTAGAATTGATCTAATATTACGTGTTTGACCCCTATTATGTAAAAATATTTGATGGTTCACTTGATTGAATGCTTCGTGAATAAGCTCTAATATTTGTCATGGTGTTCGTACTTGTCCTTAAAAGCATGTTAACAATTACAAGGGAGTCACATTCTTACTACAAATACTTTGACTCGTCAAATTTTAAGAATGTAACTTTCATAACAGTTTTTCGTAAATTCATGATTGAAACTTATGAATTTTTGATTTGAAGTTTATGAGTTCTGAAATTTATTAACTATATAAACAATGAACTCTCAAACATATGTACGAGATTAGATCAAAGTTACTAGCTAGATTACGTTGAACCTGCACTTTAATAATTCTATTAAGTTTGCATTTGGCATATATCAAGATAACAAAAAAAAAAAAAAAAGTGTCAAATATACCCAATTATCTTTTAAACATTTCTTTTATTAGATCAGAAGTACTCTTTTGACGTAAGTAGTCTATATACACATAGTCTAAAACACTAACTATAGATAGAAGTCTGAACTACTAATAATTAATTACAAAAGCTATTAAATTCTACTGAATTTCACTATAATCATAGAAACATCTGACTCTGACTCTAAATCCTGAATTCGTCCCTGTCTATTGTTCTCGTCTTTCTTGAACCATGATGGGAAGTCCGCCTCTCACGGTGGCTGTCAATCCCGGCATGAACTTTGGTGCCTGCTCTTTAGTAGCCACGTGAACTTGAAAGTCAAATTGCCTAATCAAAGCCAAAGCAACACTCTTCATCTCCACAATAGATAAATCTTTACCCAAACAAACTCTAACCCCACCTTGAAAAACTGGGTATTTAAAAGGACATTGTGCCTTAAAAACTCCGTCTTCCAACCATCTTTCTGGGTTGAATTCGAGACAATCTTTACCCCAAATACCCTCCATCCTCCCCATTGCATATGGATGATATGTCACCCTTGTCCCTTTAGCCACAAACGTACCATCAGGGAGAGTATCGTCTTCTTGACAAAACTTGGAATCAAATTGAACCGGTGGAAATAGCCTAATACTCTCATGTATAGCTGCAGTCAAATAATGCATTTCGCGAATTTCTTCAAAACTAGCTAAAGTTTCCTTTTCTCTTCTTACCATGACTCGACTCGACTCAGCTCGAATTTCATCAATGACACGTGGATGTTGTGCTAGTAGCCAAAAAAAAGTAGTCAGTCCGGAAGCAACTGTGTCTCTTCCTGCTAAAAGAAAACTGACGATAATGTCCCTAAGGAGTTTATCATCATCCATATTCCTCATGAACCTAGACAAAAGGTCATTTTGGGAAGAAAAATCGTTTTTTCTTTTCTGAATTATTACCTCTTCAGCAAGAATATCAACTTTTTTAATTGCTTCTTTTAGCTTCTTTTCTGATCCAATATTCAAACCTCTTTTAATTTTCCAAACTAAAGGTGAAACTGTCATAGCTCTTTCAGCTGACAATTTCGAAGCTAAATCAAATGACTCTTGAAGATCTGAATCTGGTAATGATAATTTTAAACAACCAGGATCCATACCAAAAGAAAATTTACAAATACTATCAAAAGAAAAACGTCGTAAAACATCTTGTAAGTCCACAACGGTGTGGATGTTACTTTTCAAAAGCGGAATCAACCGGTTTCTAATTTCGTCACTGACGATATCGAAAGCGTACGAACGTATCGATACGCTTCCGAGTTCTAAACTTGCCATCTTCCGTTGAAACTTCCACATTTCGCCGTCTACGGCGAAAATTCCTCGGCCTAATAAATCGCCGAGGATCGTAGAAAATTGTTTCCCTTTAGGGAAATTATCGAAATTTGTTTTGAGCATGTATTCAACGTTGTTTGGATTTGCTGTAATGACATTTCCAAGAACGTGTACATGAATTGTACCACTTGGTGACTTTTTGAGTAGATAAGAGTACCAATCACAAAGATTTTTGAACTCTAAAGACCATGTAGAGTTCAAATAGCCTTTGCAAATCTCACACTCACAATAAGGTTTAAGTCTAGAAAGAAAAAAGAGAATTGATAACACAAGTAGAGAAATAGCCAAAATCAAGAAAAAAAGAATAGTAGCCATTTCTATATATGATGACTTGAAGAATTTATGTAAATGTGAGTGAATGAGTAGAAGTGAATAGAGGGTGTTGTTATTTATAATGAAGAGGAGGATGATATTTATGGGATTTTCAATCCTACTTTTCTAGAAAACCAGATATCTACGTACACACAGTTTTTGGTTTTTTATTTTATTTTTTTTGTGTTAGTGGCACACCTTTTTTTTTTTACTATCAATTAGTTAGAGTACTTGTTTAAGTTTTAGAAAAGGACATTACGTTACAGCTAGTGGATGAACATAAAGGACAGCGACGTGAAGGGGGGACACCACACGAGTTATGCGTGCGCTAATAAATATATGTTCGCTCTCATTTCAATTCGTCTGATATAGTTTGATTTCACATAAAATTAAAAAAAAAATATTTATAATGGTCATAAATTATTTCATTAATAGTAAAATATGTATTTTAAAATTATATTGTTACAAAACATAGAAATATGTTATATTTTTAGAATTAGTGAGTCGTATAAATTGAGAGGGAGGAAATACGAAACAAAAGTTATTAACTGTAATTTGTCGTGTATATTGTCTATTATAACACATGCTCTATTTGGATCATTATTGATTATTAAAGGTCTAATTATAGAAATTTGTGGCTAATAATGGATCATTAGCTGTTTTCAACATTTTAATATTCCTTAATCATCTCCGGAGAATTATTTCTTTAATTTGTAATTTTATTTTAGATGAACTAAATTTGATAGTCCTTTGTAGTTACGCACTTACACTGTGTAATGGAAGCAATTATTGATTAAAAATTAATTAGTGCATTCCAATTAATATAGCATTACGTATAAAGTGCGTGTGTGTACGTTGTGTGCCGCAAATTATTTGACAAAATAGTTTTATAAGTATATCATTATAGTATAATTATGCTATGACACCTGTGAAGCTAAGATGCAATTTAATATTCATATAAGTTGTTTTCAGCGACTTAAAGAATTAGTAAGTAATTTATTCCGACTAAAACAAATTAGTACTAGTCGCATTTTTCTTGTTTTATTCATTGGTTAAGACTGAAGTTTTAGAAAAAACTATTTTTAATCTAAGGTGTTATATATTGACATTTTCATATAAGTACAAGATTCATATTGTTAAAATTAGTTAGAAATATCTAATTAAAGGTGAAAAAATATAATTAATTTGACATAGACATGGAGTAAATATACAAATAAAAACAGACATAAGTAATGTCGCCCATGTCGGCAACATGGGCAAGTTACATATGACAAGACGACGTCGGCAAGTGTAACTGGTACATGAACAAACATATGTATATATAATAATAATGTATGCAACTTTTGTAAGACAGATTGTCACTTTGATGGACAAAAAATAATGTAGTTGTCTCAAGAATAATTAGTTCATTTTAACACTTATCCATATATATGTTGAACATGTCTAGTTGCATTGTCTTCGATATCTTCTTGTCAATTTATACAAAGGAATAAAATATCTCATGGCCAAACATGTTTCCTTGAAAAGTGATACTTAGTGTCTGTAAGGTTCAAAATTGTAGTTGACATATGATTGTCAATTGTCATTGATATGCTAGCTAACTAGTACTTATCTTGAAGTTCAAGAAGATTATTTTAGTTTATGTCTTATATAAATTTTGATTTGAAATTATGCTGGCTATGTTATTGTTGTATGTTTTATATTAATTTATTTATATGTCGTATTAAGCTAAAGGAGAGTCTCAGTCTTTCATAAATACAAGAATACAACAATATAAATTTCACTAGTTTAGGATCTAATTTCGTGGCTTCTTCTTGTGTGTTTTCGAAGTTACCATCTTGCCAGATTTCGGTCTTCGGATACATGTATCTTGGATACATGAGGTCAAATTAGGTTAATTTATTCTAGATTCACTATATTCAAGCATGATTCGCATGTACTTGAGATACACTGACTCTCTTGCTTACCTCTCTCCTCTCTCGCTCGCCTTTCTCCCTTGATCACCCCTCTCCCTATATATCAATATTTCAGAATATATCTGATAGCAAAATACATATATCTAGATGTTTCTGACTTAAAATTATTAATTAGTGAGACAATATATAATTATTTCAAAATTCAAATTATAGAAAGAATCAGTAAATATGGTAGCATACTTCCAAATATTAGAAATGGCTCTCTTCTTAATTTTAGCAACCACGTTTTCTAAGTTTAGAAAAAAGGACGTAAAAGACCAATAAGGGTTGTGGTGGAGTGGTAAGTACTCCTTCATCCTTAACCAAGAGGTCTCAGGTTCGAGCCTCCTTGGGTACGGAGTCACCTTTGTTAGGGAGCGCTTTACCCCCACTGTGAAACTTTCCTATGCGAATCTGAATTTAGTCGAGCTCTAATGTGGGTATCGAACACCGTATGGGAAACCAAAAAACAAAGGGACGTAAAAGGGGTAGAATTTAATTCACTTTAGTAGGTTCTCAGGTAAAAAAAAACGAAACAATAGGCGGGGTGTGTCAACTAGTGAGGTACATGCACGAAAAAGATACACTTGCTCACCTCTCAATTAGTGCTATGTACGTTTTATCTTTTTCCTCAGTGTGACAGGACATGACATGCCTACTTGCCGCTTAGTTCAGTACAGCTTCAGACATGACATGCCTACTTGCCGTTTAGTTCAGTACAGCTTCGGGAAATAGAAATAATAATCTCGAGATAAAATTTGAAATTAATTTCATCTTATGTTTACTTTAAGATGTTAGCTAATTTAAAAATTATCGTTTCTCGTTATTTGTACTAAAATAATGGAATTACATACTATTCATCCCACATAGAAGATAGAAGCTTTCAATCCATAAAATAATTTTATTTATTTTATCCCACGTATCAAATGACCTTATATATCTTAGTTTTTGTTTATTGCATTATGGAAATGCTCTTTTCTTTATCCCACTATTTTAGAAAAATATTTTTCTTCATAAGAAACACACAATAAGTGTGAAACTACTTATAAAAAAATATTGTCCTTCGTACCAAACGCAATGCACGCATAGTAAGTGCGAAACTACTTATTTACCTTTTTAACAAGTACGTACGTACTCAGTGACATGCGTTTGCAAATTGCAATCACGTTTTGAACATAGGATAAAATTTTGTATACTTAGGTTTTAACTTTATTTGAGAACAAATTGGCCTAATAACAAGTAAAGGTCGTAAGTTGCAACTAATTGTAAAATATCCACTGAGACTATACAATTTGATTGTGATAACTAAAAGAGAATCAACAAGTTGGATATATACTACTTTTTGTTCTTATATATATATATATATATATATATTGTTGTGGGCTGTGGACATCAAGTCTTTGATTTTTCTACTCACATCCATTCACACTGAACTCAATAATTTAATCTTACTAATCAAATATTAAAATTAAGAAAGTTGTCTTCTATTTATTAGTTGGGTGTAAACATGAATACATATGATAAAATAGTTTAGATATACTTTAGTTTGTAATATTATATAAATTTCATTAGCTTAGAAAGGTACTAATTATTTAAATATACTTTAGTTTGTAATATTACTTACTTTACTAAATTTTGATGCCTCCAAATACGTGTAGATACATGTATTTCGGATACGTGGGATCAAATTTAGGTATAATTTGTTCTAGATAAATTTTATCCAAGTGAAATCGCATGTATTTGGGATACATAGCAAATCTCGCTCGTCACTCTCTCATGTATCTGGTATCTCAAATATATATGGATCACTCCAGATACATATAGAATTATAGATACACGTATCTAGTGTGATATACATGTATATGTGATTTATACGAATCTCGTTCGCCTCCCTCCCCAATCTCACTCGTCTCTCTCTTTATTTTAGTGTATCTGATAGCAAAAATCCATGTATCTAAGTGTAAGATACGTAGAGTTATCTTAATTAGTGGTAAAGTAGTCGATAGATGGTTAGGAGATGAAAAGTTATTAGTTGGGTTCGATCTAGTCGGAATAGTTTTTTTTTTTTTTGAGCGGTAAACTTTTATTTGGTAATAAAATGCATACTTACCAAAAAAAAAAGTGGTAAAATACGTCATGTTTTAAAAGTATAAATAGTAATAGTATATATGATATATGATAGTGATGTATATCAAATTATATAGTTTTTTTCTTAATTTATCCTTTTTCTATTTCTTTTATAGAGTTAAGTGGATTTATATCATGGTCTTTTTGTAACGGGCCTACTAATGTTGAAGAATCGTGAATTGTGCTTTGGGATGAAATATCACTCTTAATATAATATAATAATAGTGTTATGCTTTATACTGAAAAAATGTGCTTTAACAAGGGGACCATAAGTGGAAAGAAGTGTTTAAGTGGATTTTAATATATTGTATATGTTATGTACGGAGTATCTTCTTATTTTATTTTGTAAATAAGCTGTATTGATTTTTATTTCTTTTCTGAAAAAAATAACATATATATCATGATGTCGACAATGCAACTTTGAGACAAATTTAACTTACTTTGATTGGATAACAATAAAGATATACATGATTAATTCACTAACTGCAGTGGTCTGTCTGTCGATCAATGTTGTAGTTGATGCACTTAAAAAGTTATGAAATTGATTAGTTCATGTATGACATAATTTTCAACTACTAGTATATTGTTTATTTTATTAATTGGATTCACTAATAATTGAGATACGATTCACCTTGTATATATATATATATATGTACGTATACATTATATTCTTGTATGATGTGAGAAGCCACTTAAAAATGAGTAAGCAAGATTTATGATCGATATTTTATTGTTGTTATTTATTGGTATTCGATAATCACTGACTTGATTAATTTAAATTTATATTATATAACATGAGTTGATTTCTCAAGTAATAATTATTAATTATTTCAATTGTCGGAAAAAAAAATTAAAATCAAGAAAAAAGGTGACTTTGTGAGAAAATAAATATTAATTGGAAGTGTTTTGTTATCAAGAATTTCTCTATTTCCGGCACTCAATTCCCAAATCTTTAGTTAT